CCACAATACGGCGAGACAATTCCATAGTCTTTCTGACGAGGACAATTACCCACACTCGTCTGTTGGTATTTGCCCTTTAGCGAGGTCACTCTGTCACACTTTGGTTTGACTAAACAGGGCACTATGGACAACACGTTCTGACTCTCTACAATCGTCTTTTCTTTGCAACTTAAAGCTTGTTTTCCCCACAAGTACAGTGTTTCTTAGATATACTTCTAAGAATGTCGAAAATAACAGTAAGGTGAACTTAAACAATGGCGTAGTGGGATTTTAAAGTTTCATATGGACCCTAAATGTTTTAAAAGTTCAGTGAACTTTGACCTACATAACCAATGAATTGATGAAAATAATATGTGACTTTCACATAGCCAGAGAGTGGTTTATAAAAGCTCACAATTAGTGTATGGTGGCCAAAATGTACTAATACCAAATCGCAAATTCAAAGGCAATTAGCATTTGTATTGGGCCATTGGCTTGTTAGTGGACTGTCAGGCAGTCTTGGGTGCAAGGAATCATTAAACAAACCAGTCAATTGTCAAACTCATAAAAATCCGTTTTAACAACAAATGGCATGATTGGTCACACTGTAACCTACAACAGTATGCTCCCTCAGAAATCAAAATGGCGGACTTTTAAAAATGGCGGACAATTGTTGTTGGACTTGTTTGATCGCATTCCTTCCGTGTCACAGGCTTCAGTGTCTTAAGCTGTAGGGTTGAATTACGCCCACAGGCAAAACGTGAATGCGAACAGTATTCTCGTCTAAATTGAACCAAGGGGCAACCTCCTTGATTGAACTACACATGTACACATAGTTGCAGCCCAATACTCACTCAAGCAAATATAAAGCGATACCTTTTAGGGGAAACGCTGCTCATTCTGTGAAAGCTTTCCCGTTCACACGTGCATGGGTAGTTATGTAACTTTGCAATGTTTCTTTGCCAGCGAAATTAAGGCTTAAGGTCACCATGAGTTCAAAGATTGGTTGGGTGCTCTTGGGTATAATTTACTGAAGGCGAGGTCAAAAGTATCACACGTGAACACCGTACGCGTCAAATGCTTTGAGCCTTTTAGCGTCAATAGTTTGTGCTTATAAACCTGCATTTCCCCTCTAGTCTCTCAGTCACTGACGAAAGCTAGTGGATACTAGCTGAAACGTGTGACGTTTTCAAAATCATATCCAGTTGCTTGAGTAACTGCTTTTTGCCGTATCGTATTACCTGGATGTCTAACCTTCATCGACGTAGCTTTGAGCCTTTGGTTACATCCCCAACAAATACTATACGTTGGTTTGTATGATTTAAACGTTAGAAAACAGGCCCATAAATTATATCCTCATAAACCAAATGTACTGAAGAGCTAATTGGGGGTTTCATGTGGTTTTTGAAGTTGACCATTCTGTTTGTCCATACATATGCGTTAATTTTACGAAGACTGTGTTCTAATTGTTGTAAAGTAGACGGTGTTTTTAAAATCATCTGAACTCATATAAACCATGACCAATCAACTCTAACATGGAAAGCTACAACAGTAACCAAACCAGAACCAGAAATTCTAGAAGCAATACGATGCCAATTCTTAGGGATTTTATATTATTAGATTCTTATAATGTACATAAAAATATGATTCTACATACATGTAGCATCTAATGTTCGTACTCACCAGGAGGCCTAGCCAGATAGGCAGCCCGTACACGCTACTCGCTTGCTTGTTCCCGTACAGCCATAGCAGGCTCACGCCGAGAAGGATGAAGATCACTCCGATCGCAACCAAGCCGTAGCCGATATACAGGCAACAGTAGTTGTACTTTCTGTCGTTGAAGACACAGATGAAGTCGAACGCCTTACGCCAGGCCGGTTTGTTTTCGTCTTCGGTCGTCTTCTCGTCGGGTTCAGGTTTGGGAGTTGGCTCGGGAACGGGCTGAGGGTGTTGTAGAACGCGGTACGCAGAGGTAGCCCGGTCCCGTGCGAAAACCAGTTTGTCCCTTGCCGTGTCAAGCTTTCGCCGCCATTTAGGCTTAATGCCCGTGGGCTTCTCACCTTTCTCCGCGTTCTTAGCGTCCAGGAATTCCTCTACTGTCGCTATGTTATCTTCCGTTGCCAGGGTCTCAATCCCGTCTGCTTCTCTGTCAATTTGTGACTGCAGAAGTGAAATCTTTTCTTTCGTAGGTTCCATTATTGTCACGGCGTCGTCTGTTGCATTCTGTGACCCAGGTGCGGTGAACGTTGGTCTGTCCACATCGCTTAAGGGCTCGGTCTCCAGTAGGGCTTCCTTAAGAGACGACGGCACGTCCTCCCGCTCTACGGACAAGATAGTACTCTTGTCTTGGATGTTGTACCCCTCCATTATGTAAGGGTGGCTTGGGCGGTTGGTTGACGACCTTGGCTGATTGTTCTACGGAACCATTGTGCGGTCTTTTTTGCTGTCACATTGCTGTAAGTCTGCGACCCCTGGATGTTACCTTTCCACTACTTTAGCTGGCACACGCCGTGACTAACAGAGTTACTAGCGGTCTAGTTCGAGGTCAGTGCAGTGAAGCAAATACTAGAGAACATCATCCACCTGACATAGGTTACAACTCTGCTTTTGTTGTCAGACGTGCTACAAGTATTGTGCACCGACTCAATTCTGTCAGTTGTCGTCTGAACCCCAAACGTGTCAACGGAATGTTCCATTCTCAAAAATCTCAGCATCACACAAAAACTGCTGTAAGTTTCATTGTTGTTTGATTGTCTAAAAGCACCACAGTTTCTTGATAACGTAATTTCTTGGCTAGTTGAGTGAGCAAAAACCATCAAACGGCATTTGTACTATACGAATAATTTGCACTATTCTAGAAAAAAATTGAAACGACACCCCCAATCTCAGATAATGGACGATTCTTGCCAACATCGCTTAGGGCTAAAGCTTATGTCAGTAATACTAATAGTCACGTCTTTGTTCACGAAAGTGGTTGCCCGGGTCTTTAGTGTCACCATGTTACCTCTGTCTTGTATATGTTTTATTTTGAAGGTATATATAATTGTACAGGTGTACATAGGTATGTGACTTTGTAGAAAAATTGAATTTGCCGTAACAACATGTTTTGGTAACCACTTTTATTCAGATACATTGGTTATCCTTTTTTCCCAACTTTAACATATACCTCTAATCCCCTAAAAATTATCTTCGCTTAGCACGAATGATTAATAATCATAATGATAAAAGAATGTCTATGATGGAAGATTGCCAGTTAATATAAGCACTCACGTTTCTTCGTGCGAGACCAGTTGGATCGTATAGGCCCCGCCCACTGCATAGTTGCCAACAAGCTTTTGGGTTGTTTTGCAAAATGATCCATAAATCAAGATAATCTCAACCAAGCAGTAACAGGTGGGTGCATTGACAGTCTGCACTTTTCCTGAAGACCGCTAGGAGGCATGTTACATTTTCGTACATGTACATACGAATTCGAACAAGACTAGGTATGTGACTTTAAAGAACAAATGAACTTGACGTAACAACATATTTTGGTAACCGTTTTTATTCAGATACATTGGTTATCCTTTTTTCCCAACTTACGTCTAAACATATACCTCTAATCCACTAAAAATTATGTTCGCTTAGCACGAATAATTAATAATCATAATGATAAAAGAATGTCTAGGATGGAAGATTGCCAGTTAATATAAGCATCACGTTTCTTCGTGCAAGACCAGTTGGATCTTATAGGCCCCGCCCACTGCATAGTTGCCCACAAGGTTTCGGGCTGTTTTGCAAAATGATCCATAAATCACTACAATTTCAACCAAGCGTTAACAGGTGGGTGAACTGACAGTCTGCACTTTTTCTAGAAACCGCTAGGAGGCCCACAAGCTTTCGAGTTGTTTTGCAAAATGATCCATAAATCACTATAATACCAGCCAAGCGTTAACAGGTGGGTAGACTGATAGTTTGCACTTTTCCTGCAGACCGCTAGGAGGCATGTTACATTTTCGTACATGTACGTACGAACAAGACTAGGTATGTGACTTTAAAGAACAAATGAACTTGACGTAACAACATATTTTGGTAACCACTTTTATTCAGATACATTGGTTAACCTTTTTTTCCCAACTTATGTCTAAACATATACCTCTAATCCCCTAAAAATTATCTTCGCTCAGCACAAATAATTGATATGATAATCATAATGATAAAAGAATGTCTAGGATGGAAGATTGCCAGTTAATATAAGCACTCACGTTTCTTCGCGCAAGACCAGTTGGATCTTATAGGCCCCGCCCATTGCATAGTTGCCAACAAGCTTTCGAGTTGTTTTGCAAAATGATCCATAAATCACTATAATACCAGCCAAGCGTTAACAGGTGGGTGAACTGACAGTCTGCACTTTTCCTAGATATCGCTAGGAGGCATGTTACATTATCGTACATGTATACATACGAACAAGAATCTCTCAATTTCTTCACAATATATGTCAGAAAAAAACATTATGGGAAAGCTAAAAATCTGAATAGTTTCCGGTACAGGATCTGCATAGATTGAATAAAAATCTATTTTAATCATCAAGGTAGGAACAATAGGCTGCTAAGTACCTTTTCAAGTTCACAAAGTAAGATGCAGACAACTTAAGTTTTAAAGCTTCTAAACATTTGACGTACAGCAATATCAGTAAATTTACGTGCACATGTGCCAAACCTCCAGCATTGCAAGACATTTGCAAAGAAGCTAGAAACAAAAACACGGTCGAGGTAATACATTTCCATCCTCCACATAAGCTCTACACGATATGATAATGGCACCAATAACCAGAGTAACCCTACTGTAGAAAATGTCTAGGCTAATACGTTGTCCCTGTTTAACACAATGCACCAATATTCCTTTCTGTACTCTTACTGATGTACATTGTGGCTTATCCCATATCGGTAACGTAGAGATAACAAGAGGCCGATAACTTCATATAAGTTCGTCATGTATGTGTTTGGGTTATCAGAGATGTGCTGCTGTATATAGTTTGACTTTTACTTTGCTGGTGAACCAAAGGATGTGTACAGAAACATACGTTACACAAATACGGACATTTTCCAACATAGTCATAATGCTTATTGTGACATAATCAACCCTTACATATTCATTATTAAAATAAATTCAGCTTAAAAAAGGAACGTTACCCCAAATTAATGTCAATAGCAAGAGCGCACATAGCAAACCCTATCTCAGGATTCGGGTTAATACTATCAAAAAATACGTTCCTACATATCCATCATTAACATAACTTCGGCTTTAAAAAAACTTATCTCAAGCTTAGGTCAATAGCAAAATCGCACAAACAATTCCTATCCTAGCGTACCGGGAACAAACAGAGAACACACTAGACACGCCTTTGTCCTGACACTACAAAATATCACCACGCCAAAACCCGATGACACAACAAGCAATGCACTGCAAAACCATGCCCCCATCTGCCCCCCCCCCCCAAGGGACTAGTTTATCCACAGCCGGGGGAAGGGGCGTGACGATCTGTTCTTTGGTCTACATTTGAAGCTAAATTTCAAACTTAAAATTGACCTTCACCTTTCCGAGTTTCACAGGTTCATCCTACCTACCAAATATCATGAAGATACATGCACCACACCCCAAATCATTTATAAGCGATTACAAAATCAGTAACCCCTATGTACGGTAAACCAAAACTTATAACTTTCTGACGAAGGTAACTAGCATGGCTTGTCCTACTGACCACCTACTATAGTCTCCACCAGACTATCTAAGCTGGCTGAAAAATACTAAAATCTAGCCAAATAGTGACAAATAGGTATTTGGTCACTAGAGTTCATTTGCCAGCTCAGTTGAAATATAACCCCTGGCCTTATTTACCCCATTTGAGTCGAATTCTACTATCTTTAACTCCGGTAGGAATGGAGTCTACTGAGCACTAAGTGCTTTATAATCGTTATTTTCATCACCATCATAATCATTTCGGGTTCATAACTCTTCTCTGTACTACTGTTATTGATGTTGATCTCTATTTTCCCTTCACCAGATTTCTTGATCCTGAATTGGCATGTTCCATTATACTAATTACCTTCGCCAAGAAGGTTATGTTTTCGTAGGCGTTCGTGTGTGTGTGTGTCTGTCTGTCTGTCTGTCTGTCTGTCTGTCTGTAAACACGATAACTTGGGAAGGCTTCAATGGATTGACTTCATATTTGGTAGGTGGGTAGGTCTTGATGAGACCTCGAAATGATTAGATTTTGGACTCCCTAGCGGCTTCTTATGGTACTGCACCTGAACTTCCGGTTTTGATATCTCATGATCTAGACATGCTAGGGTCACGAAATTTGGATGGTAGGTAGGTCTTGTGCTGGGGAACAACTGACATAGGTTTGGGCCCCCTAGCGGTTTGCTCAGGAACTGCAGGGCCATTTCTTTGAAAATATTCATAAGAGGATAACTCAAGAACCGGAGGACGGATCTTCATGATTTTTGGTATGTAGTGACGCTTGACATAATTATGCAACAATTATGCAAATCTGGATGTAATTTGCATAATTAATGAGGAAATTCTATAAATCAGCTGCATTACATTATAGGACTATTCAAGCTTGTGACATATGTAATTGAGAACGAGAGAAACACAGGAAGTTTTCGATTATGTAAATCAACTCTTAATTTGCATAATTAATAAGAAAATGTTATAATTCCATAATGGTAACTGCCTAGAATTTTATACTTGGGGTATTTGAATGTTAAGTGAAGGTGAACATCATTAAACATAACTTATTCAAATAAGGACCTCATTTGCATAATTTATGAGGAAATGGTAGAATGGTTTTCTTTGTTACGATAAGGCTGTCTTTTGTTTGAGAATATGATCAACTGATATAATTCATGCAAATGAGGATCCTATTTGCATAATCAGGAGGAATAATCTTTACTTTGTCTGTCATGAAGATTAACATCATTTGGCGAAGGTATGAGATCGTGGAACTCTAGTTAAAAGTGCTTTTGTTGCACATCTCATTCTCCTTTCTCCAAAGCACTTCTATCTTAAACACTGCATTTCTCTGTGTATATGTCAGATACTCTCAAAGCTAGAGGTTGTGGGAAATTATCGTTAGCTTTTTATATATGGTCCCCTTTTTTCTTTTGGGTCGCGCATGGTCCCTCTCTGGCCAATTGGATACTGCCTTTGATACTCTTTTTGCGACCCTAGGATCTGCTTGGATATTATATCAAATACGTATATAGAAACATCGGTATTCTGATAAAGCAAAATGGCTGGGGTACGCGGCCCTACTGAGCACCCTCAGCCCCGCCTGTT